TCCAGGTTGTATGTGCCTTTCCCCCCTAAACACTTTCCTGTCTTGTTGTTTTGTTGTTTTCTCAGCAAGACATTTTCCCACTGTTCCTGGGAGACTTTCGGACCAGTTCAATCAGGCTGCCCTTCCACTCCCGTAAGTCTCCTATGTGTGACCTACAGTGTTTGTTATTGTCTGTCCCCACCCTTCCTCGTAAACATAATGCTCCATTCATACTGGTTGTTATTTAATTAAACTTTGAAGTGTGATTCAGCACCAGAGCTACTGGCAGTGCAGCCAGTGTGGCGGAACTACCGGCTGTGCAGTCAGTGCCGCTGCACCGGGGTCCGCACACAGAGGGGACCCATGAGGATCTCACGCACTTAGGGACATCGGATGGGTATTTTCTTTGTGCACTGCAGACCTTTACCAGAACAACCGGGCCCCTCTGACATGAACAGCCTGGGTAAGTGCAGGTCACTTCCTCCTAGCTAACCTACATGGAGCTGTGCTGGGGGTGGGACTGACTCCAGCCATGATGAGCCACCCTCCTGCACCCAAAAGGTAGGAAACAGGAGGGTGGGTGAAAGATGACCAGCATGTGTATCTGTATGTTTGTCATTGTGTGTGTTTCTGTATCTGTTTGTCTGTGTATCTGTTTATGTGTCAGTATTTGCATCTGTGTGTCTGTGTATCTGTATGTGTGTCAGTGTGTGTATATGTGTGTCTCTGTATCTGTATGCGTCAGTGTGTGTATTTGTGTGTGTCAGCATGTGTACATGTTTATCAGTGTGTGTGTCTGTGGCAGTGTCTGTGTGTGTCTGTTGCCAACACTACACACAAATACACCTCTGCATCCAAATGTCAACATTTCATACAAGCACACCTCTGTATTAAAACATCAATATTATTTATACACACACCCCTGAATTAAAAAAACAACACTACACACAAATTGACACCTGCATTTAAAAGTCAAAACTACATACAAACACACCTCTGCATTCAAAAGCAAACACTACACACAAGTACACCACTGCATTCAAATGTCAACAGTATGTATAAAGATTTGTGTACCTCGTATGACTATGGGGATCTACCTTTTGGTCACCCTTGCGAACAAAATTCTTGCACCAGATGATACTGATATTGGTTGACTTGTGCTCACTCTACCGACAAAGAAATCTATGGAAACCCAGTTTAAGTCTAATAATGTGTACTTTGTGGCGGAACTAAAGTAGAGAGAGCCCTGGTGCAAGAATTTGTTGGAGGTTCCCTATCGCACGATGGAAAAAAAGGTAGATCCCCATCTGTCAATAACTCCCACAATGCTTTGCCAGCTGGGGATTTACCATTTGCCTATCCTTGCAGGGTTGTCTTTAACACTGAGCAGTGTTTGTATGTTTGAATCTAAGCACGTTTTTGTATGACGTATGCGTGTGTGAATGTAGGGGGCATTTGTGTCTAGTGTTGTGTTGTATGTGTTTATTTACTGTTGCCATTTGAAAGCAATACTTTACTTGTGTGTAGAGTTTCATCTGAATGTAGGGGTGTGTCTATATGCAGTATTGATGTCTGAATACAGGGGTATATTTGTGTGTAGTTTTGGAGTTTAAATCCTGAGATGTATGCACATATACATATACATTGACACACACTGTGACACATTGTCAGGATCCTATCCTGACAACTATGTTCTATGTTAATTTATTACATTTATTACTGTTACTTTAAATCAAGTTCCTCCTTTACACCCCTAGTGGCCTCCCTAGCCACTAGTCACCTGAGTCTCTCACCTGCATAACATGAATCAAGTCTGCTATAAAAGGCCACACCTGACAAACCAAGTGGCCTTTACATTGAAGTTTATGTTCCTACTGAAAGACTTCAGATCCTGGCTCCTGAGAAGCAATCTGTGACTTAACTTCATTGCGTCCAACCTGATTTACTACCAACCCTGCTCCATACCAACCTGGATTGCCTACAACTCTGCTTTATCCTGCCAACCTGAATTATACAAACCTGCATAACCCCTATTTGGACATTGCTGCTTACTCTTATTTACAAGGTGTTGTTTTCTTATTGTTCTTTTTACTTGTCTTACTACTACCTATACTTTTATCTCTAGCCTTCTTATTATTTACTAACAACCTGTCTTATTATTCTTCCTATACTGTTATCTCTAACTTTCTTATTCTTTGCACACCTGTTTGTTATCTTTATAGGGCATATTGCCTTAATGTTTATTTCTTTCACTTCCCTTCTCCCTATTATTTCATTCTATAAGTTAACCTGCTGTTATGTCAAAACCTACCAATAAAACCTATTTTGTTAACTCTGGCCAAAGCATCCTATCTGACCGCAGCAAGATCATGACACAAATACACACACTGACACAGATCCAGATACACATGCAGATACATAGACACACTGATACACACACTGACACACATGCAGATACAAACACTGACACACATACAGATAAACAGGTACAGACACACACACATACAGATACGCAGACACATACAAACAGATACGCACATGCAGATACACATACACAGAGATATACACAATGACACTCATACAGATACAAAACATTAACTCACACAGGGGCACACAATGAAACACAGATACACATACAAACAGTGGTGGAACTACCCAGGTCGCAGCTGGGACCGTCTCCGTCACTCCAGGGGACCCGGCCGCCCTGCAACCGCAGTGCCCACTGGCTAAGTAATGAGGCCCCGCCCTGTGAGGTAGAACATGCCAGGGTCGCGCATTCAGGGGCCCATCGTGTGAGCCACCCGCTGCTATGTATTTCCAGGGGGACTGGTCGGTGCTTTAACAGTGCGACCGGCCCCCTTTGATGAGGACAGAGGCTGGAAGGAAGTGACAGCCCGGGTCACTCCTCCCAGCTTACACTGGGAGCCACGCAGGAGGAGTAAGTAGAGGAGGGAGTCAGAGTGGGAACTCTAACTCCCATCAGGCTGAGCCACCGAACCCCAGGGAAAGTCACCCTCCTGCACCTAAAAGGTAGGAAACAGGAGGGTGACCAAACCATTTTGTATGTGTGTGTGTGTGTTTTTGTATGTGTGTCTGTATGAATGTTTATCTGTGTGTGTCTGTCTGTCTGTCTGTGTATATGTCTGTCTATGTGTGTGTTTGTATGTATGTGTTTCTGTGTGTGTGTGTGTGCCTATGTGTCTGTGTGTATGTGTGTGTTTGTATATATGTGTATGAATGTTTCTCTATATGTGTGTATACATCTGTGTGTATGTGTGTGTGTGTACATGTATCTGTTTGCATGTGTGGGGGTGAGGTGGGAACTTATGGGAGGTGGACGGTAGACGTATGGGGGGAGTGGGTAGACGTATGAGGGGGGCCCAGGGCAATTTTCGCACTGTAGCCCTGTGGTTTCTAGTAACCCCTCTGCATACAAACATACAGATAGATACACAGGCAGACAAATAAACATACAGACAAACAGAGTCACAGACACACATGCAAAATGTACACATTTGAAGCCACCCTCCTGTTTTCTACATTGTTGGTGGAGGAGGGTGGCTTCCCTGGGGTCCAGTTAGCTGGAGAGACTGTTGGGAGTCAGAGGCTCTCCTACTCCACGTCTCCTCCTCTCTATATTTTCTTCTTATGCGACTTTGTGTTATCTGGGAGGGAGTGACCGTCTGTCACTTCCTCCCAGCGCTGCTGAGCTTACAGTGTGTCCAGGTCGCAATGTAAAGGTGCGCAGTGCTTGACTGGGCCCCTAGAAACACTTTGCCAATGGGTGGCCCTAAATTAACGGTTCCGCCTCTGTTTTATTCCCCACATTATCAAGCGTCTGGCTGATATTTGTGGGGGAGCTTCTGCAGAAGCTCTCTCACTCTCTGTAATATCCTTGGCACTACTAGGCGGATAGAAGGGATGAATGCTGGGCAGAACAGGTCTGGATCCCAAGTCTGGAACAAGACCTCCTGTATCTACTACAATATAAATATCTCAACATCGTTTTTTTGTTTTTTACTGCTTTTACTTTTTACCTCTTTTGGTTACTTCTTCTCACTTGATATGTGAAGCAAATGGCATGAAAATACTCCTATCAGTGTACTGCAGATTATATACATAATATTTATATTTTGCAGAACACTGATTGGCTCAATTACTCTTGTTTTGTCCAAATTGTTTCCAAAACGATTGCATAGACAACATTCACCTGAACCAAACAGCACGAAACCAGAGAAATGAATTCGCCCAAAAAGAATATTTTTTTTCTGTGTACAAGGTTAATACTCACATTAAAATAGCAGAGGGTGGGGCTACGCACTGGTTACATATGCTAGATTAGATAAGTAAAAAAAATATATAATTCTAAAAAATTTATTTTACAGGTCATTTAAAGCAAAAAAGATTTGTGAAGATACCCTTATGTCCACATATATTTAGGCAAAAGAAGGAGAAGATATGAACACCTCAAAGGAATTGAGCTTCTTTCTAGTATTCTATTTGTGGTTAGGATCACTGCTGGTGCTTGGGGTCTTGGAGGGGCACATTCTTTATGGATGATGTAGAGTAACACATGCAAACACACCCACTCTATACCTAGCCAAAAGGGGAAAGAAAGGGGAAATTCTGCTTGCCTCATTAGTTATCATGAATGTGAGAAGTACAGTTGGAAAGTTTAAATATTTCAGTACTAAGGAAAGAAATGATAAGGTACACCTGATATAACTTTATCACGTATCTGTTTAGCTACAAATGTATAAGAGAAACATCAAAGAAATTCTATTATTTTAGTCATTGCTTGTTAAGCTACGTAAAACCAAGAGATGATGACTGAAAACAAACAGCAAGCTAGCAATGTTTAATGGGGATTAAATAACACTTTGCTGAGTTCCAGATCACACTCATACCGAAATGTCAATTGACCTCTGTGTTCTCAATGCTTTGCAGAACTACGATCACATTACACATGCTTGCATGTTTAGAGTTATGTAGACAGGCCCCATTTCTAGAAGTGGAGTAATCTCAATGGAAACCAGTGGGATGTCTTATTACATCACATTTAGAATCTGGCCATAAAATTGTACTTTAAATACAACCCAAAATACCTTCAGTAGAACTTCATAGTTAATACAAATGAAACCACAAGAGGGCAGGCAAAAATGGTTTACATGCAACTGTAGCTTCTTGGGCAAAACAAGTTAGTGCATATTTGTTTGGAAGATTGTTGTCTGTATCTAAGGTGCGTTTGGGAGGCTGTGTTGTGAAGATGCATTCTGTGAGTCTGGAGAGACGAGTGTATTTAGCAGGGTGTGTCAAGTTAATTATAATAACAACAAAGCCCCCATCCTAAAAGCCTTTCTAAATGGAGGATAATAGGACCAAGCAGATGAACCATATGTATGCACACATAACAATGATGTGTCCTATCTGGAAGAGTGGGTGACCACCCGTTAACTGGAGGAGATGCAGCAACCAAACAACTGATAAAGGCTTTTGGCAGAAACTGTGGGTGGGGGCATTGTTGTTGTTTTGGTATCAGGATCCTCTATGCACTCACTACACAACTGTATTCCTATACAATGTAATCCATTATATATATATATATATATATATATAGTCTTTTGTAATTAAATTTTGTCTTATTTTTGAGGTGCAGCATTGTTAGGTATAGTGATTACGTGAACATTACACTTTGCTAATATTATGTACTATTTGTGATTGTAGTATGGATTCTATTACACATAGGATTAATTGTTGTTTTTGGATTTCTAATAAAGATTATTTCGTTTTTATTTGGGGTGTTCCTGTATTATATTATATTGAAATACAAAAACAAGATATGTGAACACAACCCCAGTGAGAAAAGTGTATAATTTAAAGCAGACCGGAACTTCCCTGTGTTGGGTGAAGTATCCAGATAGGTCCCCAAAGACTTCCTCCTGTCTTCAACAAATATATACAAATAGAATAGGGGATAATCTGCTAAATACAGATAAAATAAAAAAAACATAGCGTTTAACTGTCTCAGAGTTAGTGACAATGTGTTAATTACAATTGGTCACTCACAAATTCTCAGATGTAAAACAGCCTTGAGTAAAATCTTTCCTTCCTTATATTATATTGTAAGGGGGGTAGGTATCCCAGCGAAGGGGAATGTCAGCCTAGCATGCATTCACACTGACAGTCTATCTGTCCACCCTCACTCAGAGCAGAACATGCAGAAAGAACTGCTAAGACATGGTTCGAGTACCTCCAGAATTCTGCTGTCATCATATATGGGACATCATGGAATCAACCAGTGATGTTGGGAGAGAAGCTCAAAATCGGTACTACTGGATCCAGGACAGTGGGTGGTCATGCAGTTAAACTGCAAGAGTCATTGTGCTAATGGGGTGGTTATGATGGTGGTCTAGTGGTTATGATGCCACAGATGCCTAGGCGCTGTTATCCAGAAATGGGGCAAACTGGTTTGCATTGCTTTGCCCTCTTACCTGGGTCTCTGCCTGGCACCAAGGTCCTCTAGTGGCTGGTGACTGGCATCCGACTTCTGCTGAGCTGCATAAACTGGATGCTGATCATACCAGCCATTCATAGGCTGAAACCATCACAAATATACCCAGAATTGGCACTAGCCAGTTCTGAATTCCTGTTGGAGGCTGTCTGATGATGCCCCAATGACACTGCCAAAGGTGGAGCTATATTTTTAGCAGCAAAGGGGTTCAACCCCATATGTGCAGCGTTTATAGCAAAATGATGCACGTACAAACTCCAGGCGTCATGACCACTTCAAATCACCAAAGTGGTTATGGTACTGGGAGTAGCCCTAAGATTGTCATTTTAAGAGGTTGAAGATAAAGTAAAGCAGTTTTTACAATTGCCATTTATCAAATGTCAGCATTATTTTTTTTGCTTTTTATTTATTTTTTTTTAGATTGCAAGCTCTTGAGCAATATAAATAATATACTAGATTTTTTTTTTTTTTTTTATCCCTATACATGTTTATTTCATTCATGATGAAAGTATAGCTTTCCAATGACTGCACTGCCCTGACAGTCTGCATCCTGCGATCTATTTTAAAATGTGTTGAATTACTTTGAACTAGCAGATAATACAGCCAAGCAGAGCGCTCGGGGACTGCCCATTGCAAGGAGATCATGCAGAAGGAGAGGGGACATCTATGGGCAAGGAAACAGGAAGAGCTTCTTGCCAATACAATTACACTGTGTCCCTTATAGCCAATACACAACGCTGTTGCATTTCATTGTTAGCGCACGGAATGAATGCCGAGCCGTGATTGGCTGTTCCGTAATGCCCAGCTACGATTTTGTCTTCCTCAGGGTCAGTCTGCAATGCGGAGCAGGAGGTAGGGGACAGCTGGCCTGGTTACCTGCTGGAGGAGAGGGCCGCTGATCAGCCAGCATGGCCAGGTTCGCACTAACCATCGTTAGACAGTAAGTGGCCATTTATCTCTCACCTTGCTGTCCGTAGACATCAGTGTAAAGGTCATCTCTATCCAATGCTGGGACCTGTTAGTGAGGCCAGTCAGAGCCAGGCTGTAATATAATAATATCCTTCATTGTTATTATTTAATATCCATCTGGTCCTAATGAGAAAGGGGGTGGGGGAGCCACAGCCGGTCTCATTGAAAGTGCAAGGGTGTTATCTAAAGGAAGGTGTGGGATATAAATATGGAGAGAGAGATATTCTTAGAGTACAGATTGTAGCCATATTAGTCCAGTGATGAACATATAAAATAACAGGTGAAATTAGCATCTTGTAAACTAAGAGGTATTCAATTGTGTCCAGCCTCCATCCACGAAAGAGTTAAAAAATCCTACCAGTCACTTACTTGATTCCAGCGCTGATGTGCCTTAGTGCTGGGTCACGCAATTCCTCTGCCGATGTCAGCCGATGGGGGACACACAACGCGCATGCATGGATATCCTTATGCAAAGCAAGTGCGTCCAGCGTTGATTCACGGAGTCTAACTCTGAAACTACAGGAAGTGCCTCTAACTTCTTGTGGCTGTCTGGTAGTCGGACAGGGACAGTGGACCCAGATGAACTGGTCGTGATGCCTATAGTATCCCTTTAAGACAGGGCTCAACAAATCCCAGGCACTAGGACAAAATTGCTGGGTTTTGTCAACCCGTACCTCTGAGGTGGCCAGCCGGCTGGGGGAGAGTGAAGGTGGGCCGGTGGTCAGCTTTGGGAAAGTGGGATGCGGGCCAGTGGCTGGCTATAAGGAATAGAAGTGGGTGGCGAGGCAGATGTATTCTGCTTGCTCTGCTTCATCGCACGCCATGCGGTGGTGCCGGGATATGACATCACTCTCTCACTGTGTGTGTGTATGTTTTAATTGACTGCCCTCCCCCTCCAATGGCATAGGAATGGTGTTTTACTCACCTTTGTTCTCACGCCGTGCCAGTTTTCATCTAGATGATCTCAGCCAACCCAATGCTTTCTCATAGGACAGAATTGCGAGTCTGACACATATGTGGCAAAACGCTACACCAATCACCATCTCCTCATAGAGATGCATTCAATCAATGCATATCTATGTGAAATGTTCGCGTCTCAATGCAAAGTGTCGCAGCACTGACCCAGGAAGCACCTCTATTGGCTGTCTGAGTGACTGTCACTAGATGCTGAATTTAGCTGCTGCACTCTTATAGGAAGCACTATAGTGGTCTCTGAGTGATTGCCACTAGAGGTGTTACTAGGCTGCAATGTAAACACTGCTCTTTCTCTGAAAAGGCAGTGTTTAGATTGAAAAGCATGCAGGGGCAGGTTATAGACCCCAGAACCACTACATTAATCTGTAGTGAGTTCTGGTTACTATAACGTCCTTTTTAAGAATTGTGTTTTTGTCATTGAAAATCAAGCATTGTTTTAAAAAAACAAAAAAACTGTCTCCTAACATTTTTAGTTGGCTCCTAGATTCCAAGCAAATTTGTCAAGCCCTGTTTTAAGGATATATGTGTTTTACATTACCTACTGTTTGTCGTTTTTGTCTGTTTTGAGTTTATTTAGTAAAACAAGTTAGCACATTCAGTGTTATGTTAATTTTGTGCCGTTTTTATTTACATACAGTGGTAGGGAATTAGTTAGAAAACATGTAAATGTTTTTTAATTAAAAACGTAGCTGTTGCCTCTGTTTTGTTGGCTTTGAGGTATAAAAAGGAAAAGTATGGTAGTTATGTTGAATGTGTGTGTGTATCTATATGATCCCCCAATACTGATTCTCTTTTGCATTATGGGAGGCCATGCTTAATATTGCAGGAGGACACTGATGTTTTCATACCCATGGCAAAGCAGCACTATCACTATTTTTATTAGGTTTTTTGCATCCGATAGAAGTAGGCAATCTTTAGCATTGTTTAATTCACCAATATAATTTACCCACATACCATCAGTCAAAAAAAAAAAACACAGAAGGGCAAACTGTATACATCATGGGCAGTGGAAAATGATAGCACCTGGATACTGAGAAAAAATAAAGTCAAATACCAGTGCTGCTTTAGTTTTTCTTATCCTATTCTTCTTTTTATACTTGCATATACATCTATAACATTTTATATTGTTTGTGTTTAGATTACATGGCGCCCAATTCAGCATTGAATGCAAGGACATTGTTATTTTCTGGTTTCACCTGTTATTCCTATATCCTTAAGGAATAACTGAGATTGGTATCAGAACGTGTCCTTTCTTACATGTCAACATGTATTGTTGACACTCTAACACATGGCTCAACAAATCCCAGGTCACTATGGTAACTAGGAAATTTGTCCTGGCGCCTGGGATTTGTGAGCCTGTTCAGACCTCGCGGTGACGGCTGCCTGGGAGTGGAGACGGGCAGGCGTCTCATGGCGAGCAGAAGCAGGCAGGTAAGCGGCTGGCTCATGGAGAGCTGAGGAATGGGGGCAGGAGGGTGGCTGATTGCAGAGGCAGATAGGGAGCTGTCAACTACCTGCCCTGCTTCCTCGCTCGCCCTCCAGTGATACTGGGAGCCAGAAAATGACATCACTCAGACCTCCACATCACTAAACAGCACTGTAGGTAGCAAAGCTGAGAGATGAGAGCAGCCTCACTGGACCCCAGGGAAAGGTTCCACTCCAGCTCTCCCAAAGGTAGGGTAGCCGGTGGGCACATTCAAATAAAAAATATAAATAATTTGTGAGAGTGTGTGTGTGTGTGACAAATCAGTGTGTCCGTCAGTGAGTATGTATGTCTTTCTGTCTGTCAGTGAGTGTGGGTCTGTTAGTGAGTCTCTCTCTGTCAGTGATTGTGTAAGTTTAGGTTACATGTCCACCTCCATTCACATGGGAACAGTGTTTTTACTCACCTTTTTTCCACACCGTGCTGAGATCATCAGTCTTGATAATCACAGCCAATCTAAAGCTTCCCCATAGGAATGCATTGAGAGACTACTGTGCATGCGCGACAAAGTGCCAAACTGTGCCAGTCAACTTCTCCTCATAGAGATGCATTAAATCAATGCATCTCTATGGGGATTTTTAAAGAAGGTGCTGCACACTACAGCACTGACCCAGGAAGCACCTCTATTGGCTGTCTGAGTGACTGTCACTAGAAGCTGAATTTAGGTGCTGCACATTGTGCAGCACTGAGCTTGGAAGCACTATAGTGGTCTCTGAGTGATTGCCACTAGAGGTGTTAATAGGCAGCAATGCAAACACTGCCTTTTATCTGAAAAGACCGTGTTTACATTGAAAAGCTTGCAGGAACAGGATATAGACTTCAGAACAACTACATTAAACTGTAGTAGTTCTGGTGACTATTGTGTTCCTTTAAGAATTGTATTTTTGACATTGAAAAACCTGGCTCCTAGATTCCAAGCCAATTTGTCAAGCCCTGGTCTAACAGATCCCACTAATTAAACAAATAACAACCAATGGAAACATACATACCTAAATATTCTAAGGAATTACTGAGATTATAAGAAATTGTTTTGCTATTTACCTTGTTCCTTGTCAGTTTAAATATATTCCTCTAGTTTTCCAGTAATTCCATATGGCAACACACATTAATTCATTCATACATACATTATAAACATTTCAAATATTATTCTACATTTATGAAGGTGCAATTTAGGGTATTCAGCGCTAAGCAATAACTAGAACAGTCCAAACGGCAGCTAAATCACTGGAGCCGGGGTCTCTCATCCCGTCCACAAACAGATGAAAGTACAAGGAGTGGTGCAGCGCCTAAAGTGTCCTTTAAAAAAAAAAAAAAAATTTATACAGGATGAAAAAGGCAAAAAAAGGAAAATATATAGTGTAGTATGTCACTGTCCAAATAAATAGAATAAAACAAAAGAAACACACAATTTCCTGGAGCTAAAATTGTAGCTCCAGCTTGAATGCCTGGGCAAAACAATCCCCACCTATGGTTATAGTGTGGTTCTTGGTGGTTGCAGTCACTCAAATGTTGGAAACTTAAGCAGCTTTGCGGCTATAGGCTTAGGATATTATAGTGTAATGCCCATTTGTGGTCATTTCCCTCCAGAAATATAGGACAAATAGAAAAATTGTGTGTACCATAAAGCACAGAATACAATTAAAGTGGTAAGAAATTTACTCACATGAGATGGAGCAGATGTGGACTGCTATATTCCTCGGGCTTGGGTGGTACAATCCCCACCACGGATATGATAGTTCAAGCAGAATAGCAGTAAAGGTTAGTCCAATAAAAAAGTACTTTTATTTAAAGGTAATTTAATATAAAACAAGAAAAAATACACTCAAAGTGAGGTAGATAATGATAAATACACTTAACGCATTTCACCTGGCAAGAGGCCAGACATGGGGAACCTAAGCTGCTTAAAATGGGGGGGGGGGGGATTTAAAAATACTGGTTCTGTGACATCACATGTATTATTGATTTATGTTAATTATTTTCGGTCATGTGACCATGGTCTTTGGTCGACCATGGCGAGGCCTGTTCTGCGTGGAACCTGTCCTGTGAATTCGCTGTATGGTCTTGCCCACCATGCTGCACCTCAGTTTCAGGGTCTTGGCAATCTTCTTATAGCCTAGGCCATGTTTATGTAGAGCAACAATTCTTTTTTTCAGTTCCTCAGAGAGTTCTTTGCCATGAGGTGCCATGTTGAACCTCCAGTGACCAGTATGAGAAAGTGTGAAATGCGATAACAACAAATTTAACACAGCTGCTCCCCATTCACACCTGAGACCTTGTAACACTAACTAGTCACATGACACCGGGGAGGGAAAATGGCTAATTGGGCCCAATTTGGACAAGTACACTTATGGGTGTACTCACTTTTGTTGCCAACGGTTTAGACATTAATGGCTGTGTGCTGAGTTAGTTTGAGAGGACAGCACATTTACATTGTTATACAGGCTGTACACTTACTACTTGACATTGTAGCAGATTATCATTTCTTCATTGTTGTCACATGAAAAGATATAATAAAATATTTACAAAAAATATATATATAAACAAGAGGAGTCTCAAAGTATCCTTCCTGGTAAAATATTTTATAAAGAATTTAATAAAATATTTTACTAGGAAGGATACATTGAGACTCCTCTTGTTTTCAAATATATATATATATATATTTCAGCGAAGAAAAGTGGGCACTCACAGCTCTTGTTGTGTAAACACTGTTATGTAAACACTGCATTTTCCTTGAAAAGACCGTGTTTATAGCAAAAAGCTTGAAGGTAATGATTCTACTCACCAGAACAAATTTAATTAACTAAACAAGAGCTGTGAGTGCCCACTTTTCTTTGCTGAATTATTTGGATATATATTGGTTCCAGCGTGGTGTACCAAGGCATTACATCATTCCGTTTGTAAAAGCAATTGGAGAATAGTGAGTGCCCTCATCCCTGTATTGTATGTGTGTGTGTGTGTATATGTATGTATGTGTATATAAATTTATTTTTATTATTTTTTTAATCTATTTTTGAAAGCACATTTCCCATACCCTTGAGAAATGTGTCTATGACATATTGTCATTAAGCGTTTGTACTGACTGTTCTTATTTCTCTATGCCAGAGAGCACAGTACGGTACAGTTAGTTCATTCCCAGCAGATAGGATAAAACATCTGCAATTTAGCAGATATTCACATGCCTCATGCAGGTAGTGTAGATTATTATTATGTTTGTTAATTTTGTTCAGCAATGGACAGACTTTATAATGTTTTTCTTTCTTTGATGGAAACACATCAAACTGAAGTAATTACATGGATTCTAAAAGGCATATTGGGCACCCTTATATAGTTTATAAATCTGACTTTTTAATTATTTTGCCATCTATAGGCATTTACAAGATACCAAACCTTTTACAGCCCATTATATTTATGACGCTCAATGCAAATCTACAATAACAAACTTCTAGAATTTGATCTAATCCGTGTTTCCCTTTTTAAAATGTATTTGTTTATTTCATATAGTGGGGAAACACGATACAACAAAGAAAAACTGCTCCAAGGTAAGTTAAAAAATAAAATAAAAAATGAAGTGCTAATGTGACGATACTGAAAAGACTGACCATAATTTGACACAATTCCACTGTATAATGCTGTATTTCTAACATCTGCATATTTCTTGTCTGTTGTAGCATGGTGGGCTGATTGTTCCTTTTGTAATCCTTCATTTTACAGGCCAAGGGATAGATGAGCCTCTCTCGGAGATGGGAGTTAAGCAGGCAGAAGCTGCTGGTAGATTTCTTAGTAACGTCATGTTTACGCATGTGTTTTCAAGTGACTTGATCCGTGCTAAGCAAGTAAGTGCAATTGCTAAATAGTTTTTCTTCCCTGTAATAACATATTATCATTGTTATAGCAATTTTTTTGAAAAAGATCCAAACTGTACTCATATTAAAGGATCACTATAGGGTCAGGGACACAAACATGTGTGCCTGACCATACAGGGTTAAAACCACCATCTAGCCCCCCTGGTCCCCTCATGCCTCCCTAAATATAGTAAAATCTTACTTGTATTCAAGTCTGCAGCTGCTTACTTAGTCCCTGTTTTCTTCAGACCTGCCCACTGCCTGCTGACTTCAGCAGAAGTGGTGGCCTGATCCAATCACAGTGCTTCCCCATAAGATTGGCTGAGACTGACAAAGAGGCAGATCAGGGGAAGAGCCAGAACAATTCAAACACAGCTCTGGCCAATCAGCATCTCCTAATAGAGATGAATTCAATCTATGAATCTCTATGAGGAAAGTTCAGTGTCTACATGCAGAGGGAGGAGATACTGAATGGTTGGATGCATTTTAGGCAGCCATGACCCAGGAAGGATCTCTAACAGCTATCTGAGGAGTGGCCAGTGAAGTTATCACTAGGCTGTAATGTAAACACTGCATTTTCTCTGAAAAGACCGTGTTTACAGCAAAAAGCTTGAAGGTAATGATTCTACTCACCAGAACAAATTTAATGAGCTGTAGTTGTTCGGGTGACTATTGTGTCCCTTTAATCTTGTGGGTTATATATTCACATATCTAAAAAAAAAAAAAAAAACTAAGTTTTACTAATACTGTAAAATAAATCACACTATGATATAAATTATATGTAACCCAAATTTTAGTATGAAAAGGGGTGTAAGATCCTGTGTAGTTTTCTTTATCACTATTACGGAGTATGAAACACTGGCTCTGTTTCCCCCCCGAAAAACGAAGGATGCGCCTAGGGTGCTGCAATAGGGTCCCCACCCTAGGCCTATCATTGCAACGGTAAAATAACATAGTATTAAGAATAATATGTATTGCCAAAATACTAGCAGTGTGAAAAAGTAGGGTTTTTTTATTTGTAAGTGGACCTGGTAACATTTATCATGTTCAAAAAGAGATTCTAGCGAAAATTCCAGAGATTAAATAAATAAAAAGATTCAATTATAAAATGATTAAAGTGAACCAGATGTGAAAAAAATAACTTACCCAAAATTAGTGCCATATAATGATTTTAAGTTATCTGAACCTGTCACTCGCGAGCGCCGCCATCATCTTCCAGCTTGTACTCTGGCGCTTCAGCACCAGGAACTTACAGCATTGTGGTCTATGGAGGATTCTCTACAGATAGAGCCAATTCCTTGCATCTAGGCAGCAGTAGCCACCTTGACATGTCACATGTAGTAGCAACACAGACATTTTCCAGTGTGTGTATTGCACATTCATGTCCAACTTCTCCCACAATTTTATTTACAATTAATATCTCCAGGTGTTATTTATTTTATTATTTTATTAAAGGAGCCGTCATGGATTTTTTAAAATTACGTTTGCAAATTCCAAGACTCTTTTTGAAATGTATCATCCTCTACATTATATTCTCTCTTCCACAGACCGCTTGCATCATTATGAAGAATAACCAACTGTGTGAACCCATTGCCATTAAATATGACTGCAGACTGCGAGAAAGGGTGAGCCAAAGTCACTGAACATTCCCTTGTGTCTTTGGGATCTAGTTTAGTTGAGGCTTTAGTGTTCTGGATGTGTGAGTGTGATGTCTATGGAATGTATACTTTTAGATTGCCTATAAGGTTTGCACCTATAAGTTAGGATGTTTTACTTCTTAATATTTTTTTTATTCCTTGGGTGCACAGGGAGATGCTAATGCTCTGTTACTTTAATTCAGAATTTTTGTAAATATATATATATATATTTATTTATTGCAGTAAAAACACAATATGATTGACAATTAACCTATGTATTTCTATATGAGATTATAAATTCCACATTAAACAGACTTTGCAATAAAGGAAGACTAAAAATAAGATCTCACTTTTCAGGAAGTGTTTAGGAATGCTGTGCAAGTTACATGCAGGAAGGTGCATAAACAAAGTTATTGAACTCCTGAATGGCAGATAATTGAGCAGTGAGACTGTGAGACTGCATGGGCATGATCTGTACAATCAAACGGCTTTATTTAAGGGATACTATAGTGCCAGGAATACAAACCTGTATTCCTGGCACTATAGCTCCCTCTGCCTCCCTCTCCCTTTATAAAACCCTGTTGATGTATTTCGGCGCTGGGGCGACGCTCTGCTCCCTCCAGTGTTTCAAGACGAGCGAGTGCTAACGTGCATTAGACCTCCCAATAGGAAAGCACTGAATCAATGCTTTTCTACGGGGTTAAATCTGATGCTGGAGGTCCCCATGCAGAGCGTGAGAACGTCCAGCGTCAGATACTGGACCAAAGGTCCGTTTCAATTCAGGAAGTCCTCGAGTGGCTGTCTGGTAGACAACCACTGTGGGCAGACTTAGAGCTGCAAATAGAGGTATTTCTTGTCTATCACTGTCTGAATTAGGAAGAAAATAGTTAGAATGATCCACCACTAGGGAAATTGTGGTGAAACCCCAGAAGGGAAATTGTGGTGAAACGATTGCTAAAAAATTACTTTTAATTGATATCGTTAAAAATAGTCCCAAAATAAAAGGGTCTAATAAATGGTGAAGTGTGTACTCGTTATAGATTATCAATAATCACTCTTTTATTTTTAGACTATTTTTTTGTTGTGCATAGAATTACATACAAGCTTGTATGACCACGACAGTTCAGACAAGCATCAGAATTGCAAACGTCACAATATCGTGTCATGTCATGTAGAGTATCTGCACATTTTTTTAATGAAAGTACGGTCAGGCTACTCAGTCATGTCTAACTACAAGAAATGAGAAGGTCAAAACATAAGCTAGCATAAGATATTTAACTAGAGATGCGTACAGTTAGTTTAATGACTTCTATATCTAGTTAGACATGGAAATGTGAGTAAGTATTAATTTAAGTTGACATGCTAATAAACATTTGCAGGCTGATATTCCACTGGGTACCACACAATACAATTAAGAGAAAAAATTAAGAGAACAGGATTGAACTCCCTGCGCCCTAAACTCTTCGTAGCAAGTATATCACTGGAAGTGATGTATAAAGGAATTATCCCTGCACAAAGTAAATAACTTGGATCAACAGTGTAGAGAAAACAAAATAAGAAGCGCTAACCAGCTGAACATAACGTTAACTAATACAACCAGAGTATGCATATGCGAGCTTTGTCAGTATTTCCACTGGGCAAAAGACACAAAATAGAGTAGGTAGTTGAGTGTCTCTGGAAGAATGGGTAGTGTGCCAACGAGCAGTTCATCCATACCCCGTGCTGATCATGTTGTGCTATCTCTTCCTGCTTCATGTATGGCAGCGTCATTCGCCTCTCCCAGTCTTGAGCTTGGATGTGGAGTAGTGGGTGGTCGACTGGAGCCTGGTCCTGGGGACCAAGAGCTAGACATGTGTCTTGTGCATTCCCAGCTCGGTGGAAGATCAGCTGATCAAGCAACCAGGGATTAGGCCGCTGGCAGGTCCGGTGCCTGTGGACCTCCCTCCAAGGTGTAGCGCTAACATATGGGGTGCCATGTCGCCTGGCTTGAGGCTTGGGTAGGTAAAACCCAGTAGCTGGTTACAGATGTTGCTGGGGCCAGGAGTTTACTCAGTCCCTTTGAGGCAGTGAGGGGTTTCTCTGGGGGCCACATGGAGGCGAGTCAGTGCAGCGGCCATTTTAGATTTGAAGCATTGGAGTACGCCCTGCAGGCTTGTTGAAGACCGCATTGGTACCCTCCAGTGGAGACTGGGATAAACCCTTATATATACATACATAAAAATAGGGCTGGTTTGGCACTCTTCCTTAGGAATAAAAATTATTGATACATACCAGGGTGCAGCAGAACCAGCGAAAACAAATATATAAAAAATAATTAGGCGCACTCTTGGATTTGGATAGTGTTCAGTTTACTGTGTCCATAAATTCAAAGTTTAATAGATCAATGTTTCGACCTATTCAGGTCTTTATCAAGATCAGAACAAAGTGTACAACAATTAGTGCATATTTATAAGAAATAAAATATATTTGCTTACCAGGTGAAGTGCATAGAACCTCCCCAAACAATCGGAACCCGGAAGTGTGCAGAAGCCACGGGTGACGTCTTTACGTCATTATGTTACGTAAAGGGGGGTCCAAAGGGCGGGGGGAGGGTAGGAGCAGAGTGGGTCTGCTGGACGTACCAGTCGGCAGGGAAGTCGGCCGCCCTTTCCCCTCCTAGCCGTCTGCAGGCCTCAACGTGCAGCCGCGGTTTATGGTACTGTGGGCTTTTGGGAAAGGTATCTGCTGTGTCGTCGCTGTATTCCTGGTTGATTTAGCCTAGTGTGGAGTCGCTGTGAGATTTCCGGGGTTTTTCCCAAAAAAGCCAGTCCAGGAGCTCATACAGCACACGTTCGCTCAGCTCCGAGTTCAAGCTGTGTCCCCCGGATGTTCAGTCTTTTTTAGTAGCCACCTAGTCAAAAACACTGGCCAAAGTAAGCGGTCATAATTCTTTTTTGCATTTTTAACACACATACAAACATAAATGCTAACTTTGGCCAGTGTTTGTGACTAAGTGGCTACTAAAACCGACTGGACATACCCCATATTGAATACCCTGGGTTGTCTACTTTAAAAAAAATATGTACATGTGAGGTGTGATTCAGAGATTTATGACAGATAACAATGTCACTATTGATACATTTTAAAAATATATATTTTGAAACAGCAATTTCCTATTTGTACTTATAGCCCTATAACTTACAAAAAAGCCCTTAAACACCGGGTGTTTTTAAACTCAGGACAAAATTTTTAATCTATATAGCAGTTTTGTTCATTAGCTTTTGTAGGTAAGTAAAAGGTTTTTCAAGCAAAAAACATGTTTGTTTTTTCAATTTTTCACCATATTTTATTTATTTTTTTAACGTAAATTATATGACATGATACAAATAATGGTATGTAAAGAAAGCCCTTTTTGTCCCGAAAAATCAATAAATAACTTGTATGGGAACAGTAAATGAGAGCGGAAAATTGCAGCTAAACACAAACACCACAAAAGTGTTAAAACAGCCCTGGTCCTTAACGTACAACATCGCCAAAACAGTCCGGTCCTAAAGGGATTAATAACATTGCAGCAGAAGGGACACTGCACCCAGACCATTTCAATTAGCTGAAGTCGTCTGGGAGCCTACAGTGTTCCTTTAAGCTAAAGTTGTTTTGGTGACTATAGTCTCCCTTTAAAATAAATGTGACTTGTGCATTTTAGGCAATAATTTTAGATTTGGAAAAATATCCTTCTTTTCTCTAGGCGCAGCTCTTTATTTTAGTCATTCAATTTGGATTTTAAATGTGTACAATATGGAATTTAGTAAATTTAACACTGGGGTGTTTAGAAGCAGGGGAAAATGATCTGTACAATTAGCCAATTCTTAACTAATAAAAGGGCACCTTTAATAGCTATTTCTCTCAAATGTCCAGTTATACAGTATTGCTGAATTTCATATAAAAGCAATTTGCTTTAATCTTTTTTCTGTTATCATATAAGTTAGCTATAACTTGTTTGAGATGATTTTAAGTGGATATAATTCTATAGGGCAACCTTCACTTGAATGTCTCATATATTTTTTTGGCTGGTATTTAGGTGCTGTACACAAACTGAAATTGTAAACAGCATGCCTCATGTAATATATCAAGCTCTGCATTATATCTTATATCAACCTAGTGGCAAGCTATGAATACATGTTTTTTTAACCCAACTGTACAAAAACCTGCTAAAACAGAGAAATTCTAAGAACAGAGAAGTTTTGCCTGTTTAATTGGTCAGTACTGTTTAACAAGAGTGTTGAAATTAATGTATCTTCATGCAAAAAAAAAATCTTGTTTCTAGAAATATGGAAATGCAGAGGGTCGGCCCTTGAGTGAGTTAAAGGCAATGGCAAAGCAGTCCGGACAGCAGTGTCCATCATATACACCTCCAGGTGGCGAGACTCTTGAACAGGTATGGCCCTTTTTGTAGTGCTTTAGCGGTAATTACAAGCTTGTATAACTTATCAGTTGTTTTGAACACCAGTCCTTGAGGACAACAAGACATATTTTATGGGCATGACCTATATAGACAGGTGGCTAGTTATGATGCTATTATAGACCCACCCATGTTTTTGCAAGGGAGCCATTTGGATCAAGGGATTTATACCTTAATAAAGGATAACAAAAATGATGGACTGTAAAACTAGCAGTAGAAAGAAGGCAGTGCTCATGCCATTGTACAGAACACTGGTGAGACCTCACTTGGAGTATTGTACGCAGTACTGGAGATGATTTCCAGAAGGATATTGATACCTTAGCGAGAGAGATCAGAAAAGGGCCATTCTAAACTGGTTCATGGATTGCAGGATAAAACTTACCAGGAAAGGTTAACGGAACTTAACATGTATAGCTTGGAGGAAAGACGAGACGTGGGGATATGATAGAAACATTTAAATACATAAAGGGAATCAACACAGTAAAGGAGGAGACTATATTTAAAAGAAGAAAAACTACCACAACAAGAGGACATAGTCTTAAATTAGAGGGACAAAGGTTTAAAAATAATATCAGGAAGTATTACTTTACTGAGAGGGTAGTGGATGCATGGAATAGCCTTCCAGATGAAGTGGTAGAGGTTAACACAGTGAAGGAGTTTAACCCCTTAAGGACCAAAATTCTGGAATAAAGGAATCATGACATGTCATGTGTCCTTAAGGGGTTATGTACGTGTGGGGTAGGCATAAGGCTATCCTAGCTATAAGAGACTAATGAAAGTAGTTAGAAAATTGGGCAGACTGAATAGGCTGAGTGCTCTTATCTGCTGTCACATTCTATGTTTCATCTAGTCCTGTTCTAGTTTAAAATGTACCTTTCCTGTGAATAGAATAAAGTATTGACTATGTTCAATTTTTTAACATATGTTTTAAACAATAGTCTCAGAGCTCATTTCCAGTGTTGTTTACTGACAAGCTGCTAATTGTTAAAATTGGTTTTGCAAATGCTAGTGACTAGCAGCTTAATATTCTTACCAATTGAGACTGGCTTTAACTTCCCCTATAGAAAATAATAAAAGATGTTAAAGAAACACTATAGAGTCAGGAACACAAACAAATATATTTGACAAATAGTGTTAAAATAGCTATCAAGGTATCCGACCCCACCATAAGAAATAAGATGTTTAAACTCACCTGTTCTCCCACGCCGCACAGGTCTCGGCACGGTTGGCTCCACCTCCATTGCTGAAATCATCACGCATGATGATGTCAGCCAATTCAATACTTTCCCACCAGAAAGCATTGGGAGGCTGTTGCGCATGCGCAGCAAAATGTCTCGCTGCACTAATCAGCATCTCCTCATAGAGATACAACGAATCAGTGCATCTCTATGGGGTATGTTCAGTCTCTCCACGCAGAGCGTGGAATTGTTGAAAGCCAGTACTGCACACTGTGCAGCACTGACACAGGAAGCACATCTAGTGGTCGTCTGAGTGACTGCTACTAGAGGTGTTTGGCAGCAATGTAAACACTGCCTTTTCTCTAAAAAGGCGGTCATTACAATAAAAAGCCTGCGTGGACAGGCTATAGACACCAGAACCACTACATTAAGCTGTAGTGGTTATGGTTACTATAGTGCCTTCTCTACATTTTAAGGTATAAACACAATTCTTTGTAATGCATTGTGTCATATTTTTCTTATGATTGACTGTTTTCTACTACTGAATTAGCACGTGTTTACTATGTTTTATATGTGGAACATGTTTGTAATTACAAAGTGTTCTCTGGATTTTTATTTATTTATTTTCAACGGTTTCATATGTCTTTCACAGGTTAGAGCTCGTGCCAAAGACTTTTTTAAGTATTTATGTCAGTTGGTGTTTGAGGAACTGCGCAGTAAAGACCAGTCAGAATTAGGTGCCACAGGAATATCCAAGATCTCGTCGTCTGACCTCTTTCCTTTTGTAAACCATAGCAGTAACGCTATACCACATAATACCAATGATAATCACGTCCCTCTGGATGCAAATATCCTATTGGTCAGTCACGGAGCCTACATGAGAAATTGGATCAAATATTTTGTAGAAGATCTACAGTTTACATTTCCTCCTAATCTAAAGATGTCTCGAGAATTGTCTGTAAGTCCCAACACTGGGATCAGTCATTTCATTGTGAATGTGGAATCTGAGGAACCCTTTAAACCTAAAATACATTGTGTTTGTATTAATCGTCATGATCATCTAGCAGACATGAATGCAGACACCAGCCATTATGTTGTATGATGTATACAGACTGCACTGCATTGTGAGCAATCAGATTTATATTATTGGACTTATACAGTTGCTTGCAATGTTTAAAGGAGCATTATAGTGTAGTCCTGAAGTGACTGTTTGGGTGACGGTCCCCCTCCGTTCTCTGAAAAGGCAGAATTTACATTGAAAAATCTGTAGGGACATGCTATACACAAGACCCACTACATTAAGCTGTAGTGGTTCAGGTAATATAGTGTCCCTTTAACTAGCAGTGAGAAGATGACCTGGAAATTGGGTTAGCCAACTGTGGGAATAGGCTAACTTTAGGAGTTGTAATCGGACCACATATTTAGGGTCACACTTGGGTACACATGGTCCAATCTGCAATCCAACATCTACTTCACTCGATGAAGCTGCTTTGTATCTTTGCATGCAATAGTTATACTTATTACGACTTTCACCAAAACAAAATCGTTTGAAATATGTTTACAGGTGAACCATGTATTATTAGAAATGCTCCTTATTTAGTTCGGATAGATTTAAAACGTTAGTTACTCCTGATCCACAGAATTCACTAGTATTACAGTTCCTATTAAATTGGTTTATAAGCTGAAACCGTAGCTTGCAAAAAATAATAGGAATGGCTGTGATAATATCCTTATGATAAATCTGCACGAATAGTTTTAGAAATGTTTGTGAGCTTTAGTAAGGACTACTGCTGTTATTTAATCTTCAGGGATTATATGATGTTTAAATAATATAAGATAAGTCTAAACACGATGCACAACTCAAGAAATGCTAATATAAATATAGCTTTATCATCAATAGTATGTCACAATAGCAAACATAAGGACAAACAAAAAGTGAGGAGGCTAGAAAATAAACATACAGCAACACAGATCACGTTAATAGCCTGCCAGAGTCAGACACAATTCACCCCCAAAAAACTGTTTCGGCACGCTTAGGTGCCTTTCCCAGTGTAATTTTAAATCCAAAATATCACTGCTCTAAAACAGCATTTCACAGTTCAGCTTAAGCATTAAACCTATGCAATAAATTATCTAGTGAGATTTCCAATATTTAATAGCTACAACCCTATTACACTGGGGTTTGTACACTAGGCTATTTGTTATTAACCAACTTACAAAATTTAGACTATTTTGGAAAAAAAATCCAATTTTGCTCCTTTGGCACACACCACAACAAATCTGTCGTGGTCAGAGTTTTGATTCTCAACCACTCCACTGAGCACTTAATTATTTTTAAGATGTCTACAAGTTGAACTGTCACTACTACGAAGAAACAGCTCCTTCTACCTTCACCTTAGTAAATGCTGCGGCAGCATTGGCCAAAAAAACAACTTACCTCCATTGCACCTCTGCATTCAGAAAGACTGATCTACCCATGATGCTTCAGGCATGCTTATGGGTAAAAAATTCAATGCAAGTGCACACGCACACTGTGATTTCTTCAGCAGTGCTGTAAGCAAAGGTTAACTAATGTGCATGCATTGCTCTAAAGAATTTTAAATAAATAAATAAGAAATAGTGCAGCCAATAGTTGTGTAAAATTTTTAACTAAAGTTGTCTGTAAAACTGTACAGGGGCTAAATGTGTCATGTAAGCACAAAATTATTATTGATTATTTACTGAGTGTGTTTTTGTTTGGGCATCCTGTAACAATTTACTATGCATGTTACTGAGTACATGTTATGCTGCCCTTCACTGTTAATGCACAGTAATCCTTGGCATCCTTGCCAAATATTTGAAAATGTATAATACACCTAGTATAATATGAAATTACTCACTATATGAAAAAATAGATAAACCTATAAGATTTCAATTAGACTTAATTATTTGAAGGTGATAGGTCCACCTTGTGTTAAAGTTGTCTTGCAGGTGAACGTCTCCAGGCCTAGCAGACTAATGTGAGTGTTTACATGCAGCTGATGACACAATGTATACTGTTCTTAATTCCTATTATTATTATTAGAGATCTTTGCCAGAAGCTCAAGGAAGCAAGGTGAATGGTTACAGTTAGGACCCACCTGGGGGGGTCTGTTGATGTTGGCAGGTGGGCTTATCCTCTCATGGTCATTGGAGGTAACTAAAAAAAACTACATTTGTTTAAAAATACATAGTGATTAAGGAGAGAGCGCAGGTAACTTGTTTTACTTTGGACTGGTAATATACCCTTCCACCAGGTCCCCATAATTTTCACTGAATGTAACGAAGTATAACTTAAGTATGCTGTGTGCTCTCAAAATGGGTTGCTTAAAAGATATGTTTTGTGTCTAGAATAAGCATAGGCTTTTTTTTGCATTTTTTTTTGTTTTGTTTTGCACTTTCGTAATTGATTTTGTAAAGAGTAGAGCATAAATATCATACTTTATACAGGGGATCGTAAACCCTGGCTAAACTATGGGGCAGAGTTTGAGTTGGCTGCTATATACAATTAGTCTTCAACAAGAGAATACCATTTGAAGAGGATGGGTTTTTCAGACCATCAGATCAAGTGACTATTAAATTAATAGTTTCCAAATGATTTTGTATTACATCATCTAAAACATCACCAGTGGGATTAGAAATTGTATGTGGTTAATGAGATTAATTGTAGATTTGTTGCTTTTCGGCCATGCCAGAAGAACATATATTGTCAGGATTATTCACTAAATTGGGAGTCATCAGTAATTAAGATCAATTCAAGGTGACTTTCATAATGTGGTTAAAATAAGTCAAAGTGAATCCATAGCTAACATGGAATCTTTTTCCAGTTGTGTCCATAAATTCACTTCAATTTCCTGTTAATTCACGCTTAAATTAATAACCCTGTCTATGTTTACAGTCATAGCTATGATAAAATAATAAACAACAAAGATTTTTTTTTCCCTCTTGCATTGTACATCAGCTTAAAGAACTTGCATGAATGCTATATAAAAGTAACATTAAGGGGATATGAACAGGGAGCTACCACAGCAAGACTACCTCTGCCCATTATATCCTATATATCCAACTATCGTGATATATTAAATATTATATTCACTTTATCGGATTGTATACCTTTCAGGCTCAGAAATGTTGATGGGCTGGATCCCATTAAATAAGGATGTAATGCAGTAGAGCATGTGCACTTTTTAAACATTGTGGGTCACAAAAAACCCCCCCAAAAACGTGAAATCCATTTACTTAATAAGCTTTTATGTTTCAAAAATCTTTTGACTTTCATTTGGTCACCAATTTAGTAAAGTACATATAGTCTATATCCTCTCATTCACGGGAACACATGTCAAACTAGAACGTCAAAAGATGCCTCATATAGGCCTTTCTACTAAGTCAATTATTACTATCTGAATTTTACTAGATAGCTTACGAATCTAGACTAGACTGGTATGATCTATCTATCTCTCTCTCTATAAATATATATTATTATTATTATTTTTAATATATTTTGTTGTAACATTAGTGACATAAAGAACACTGCTTTCTTCCACAAAAATATATCCATTCTCTACTTCACATTTCTATGTTACCTAAAATGTTTCTCCTAGTTGGAGTGATTGTTGTTCACAGAGCATACGTCTGTTTACTCGGCTCTTCTAAAAATATTTACAAATTTTACGCATGTATTATGCCAAGGCATACTTTGTGGTTTTCGTGGAAGGCAGGGAAATACCTTCATAGAAAATGAATATAACTTAATTAGTCTTTTAACTATTTCAAATCCTGTAACCCATAAGCTTCTATTGCCATCTTGATTTTAGATTTTTATATATATATATATATATATATATATATATATATATATATATATATATTTAAACTTAAAGGAACACTCCTCTGCCCATATTTGGAAGAAGAAGAAAAGAGAAATCACGGTTTATTAGATCCACCCCCAATGAATAGATGCAGGCATTTTCAGGCATGTATGCATTGGGGGTATATCTTAAAACAATGTGCAAAGGCTGCAGTTCTTATGAATTGCAGCCTTTGCAAACCCTCCCCTTTTTTCCCTGGAAGAGACAGTCTCATCACGGGGAAATCGTCAATCAAAGGCTTCTCATTGTAAAGAATCTGATGGGCTCCCTCCGTGTGCGCGTGCATTGGCACAAGCAATATACTGATCTGAGTTATCCAGGCGGGGAGGTAGCATAGCCATTAATTATCTATAAAAGGGCTGATATCTAATAGAAATTGGCACTTTTGTAAACTGTAATTTTTATGGGTGTGGAGGGTCCTTTAAGAGGAAGGTACAACAAATAAAATAGATTTTGTGACCAATTGATATTAACTACAGGAATATTGAACATATTAAGAACCAAGCGAACTGCAGACCTAAAGAAAACACATTTTTTATTAATTGGCCCTTCCTCTTCATGTGGTACCATGGGGATAACTATTACTATGCATAGCTTTGTGGTAAATGGCAGGATTCATTGCTTGTATTCCAGCTCATAGATCATTTTCAGTACAGTAGTTTTACTGGAAACCATTGATCATTCTGAAGTGACAACACTGGTGCAATGGAACCGATACATAAAATGATGAGCTAAATGGTGAGCTGGAATACACCCACACTGGGGGTGGTTCACTCAATTCCAAAACATAGTGAATTAAAAACTGAAAAGTAAAAGAAGTTCTAATGTGGAATAATTTCACAAGCTCAGCTATACTTACAGTTGATCTATTTTCGCATGTATTTTTCAATGAACTATTAGTGAACAAAATTCCACTGCATTTCTACCGACGACTGTAATCCAAAGAAATCCTTTTCTTTTCTCATTTCATTTCTGTTAATGCCTGGTAATATGTTGGACAGTAGTCTATTCAAATTATGTTCAATTGAATATTTCATGTGTTAATCATTCTGTTGGATAAGATGTTTGTTGGAAGAATAAACAAATCTGTTTTTATTTACTGTACATTTTTCATAACCTTTCCCTTTCAGTAGTTTTTATGTTGTTTTATGTTTGGTTTTTTTATTGCATAAAGGGTTACTCCAAGCATCGTAACCAGTGCAGCACGTTTGCAATGGTTTGCCCTCTTATCTGGGTCCCCAGTGGCCAGTAATGGCATCGGCCAGAAGTCGGTATCACCAGCCAGATGATACTGCTGCAGGTAGACTTACACCTCCACCCGTAAATGGGTTAAACTCAGTATGTGCAGTGTTTCAAATCAAAACTCTGCATGTACAGATTCCAGATCAATGAAGTGGTCTGTGCTTGGAGTAAACCTTTAAAGCTTATCAGTCATCTAGAATGAGTGTCTAAAAACTGTGTATTGAGAATTTTAAAGGAGATTTGTCATCCTTTTTTGAAGTTTTTTGTTTCATTAAATCAATTGGGAAAACTTAAATTGTGTGTGTTTATTTTTTATTTTTTATTTTTAATGGACAGTTTTGCTGGTATTCGTGACATACATTTGATCTTGAGGGTCAGTAAATCAGCTAATGGGGATTGACGCACTGCACACAGACATTTTAACTACAAAATAAACTGGACACCGGTAGATGAGACTGCAGATAACAAAAAAAATATTCAAATGTGTTTCAAGCTATTCTCTGATTTTTCTTATAGCTGGACTGACTTAAATCACAATGCCTAAATCGGTTGTGCAAAATGATAGAGAATCTAATTTCATGTTTATAATAAGTATAATAGCACAAGCAACGTTTTTAAAGTTGTGCATGAGAAAACTTCCGTGTACGTTGCCTTCAATTATACAAATGGAATTTGATGTTACATATGATATTCTGAAGACTTGTATTTGACCACAACCAATTTAAATAATCCCAATCTTAATCACCAAAACAAGTGTAAAATTATTGCTACTGAAGCAGTATTGTAAAAATATCATAGGTGCATTTACAACCTTTCATGCGCATTAGCCTGTAAAGCATGGCAACTTAATAGCCATATCTTTCTGACTCATGTTTTGAGAGCTTAAAGGACCACTATAGTGCCAGGAAAACATACTCGTTTTCCTGGCACTATAGTGCCCCCACCCTCAGGGACCCCCTCCCGCCGGGCTCTGGGGAGAGGAAGGGGTTAAACTTACCTCTTTCTCCAGTGCCGGGCGGGGAGCTCTCCGCCTCCTCTCCTCCTCTTCGGCTGAATGCGCATACGCGGCAGGAGCTGCGAGCACATTCAGCCAGTCTCCTAGGAAATCATTTATAATGCTTTCCTATGGACGCTTGCGTCTTCTTACTGTGATTTTCACAGTGAGAAGCACGCAAACGCCTCTAGCGGCTGTCAATGAGACAGCCACTAGAGGCTGGATTAACCTTTTTATAAACATAGCAGTTTCGCTGAAACTGCTATGTTTATATAAAAAAAAAAAAAAAAAAAGGGTTAACCCTAACTGGACCTGGACCTGGCACCCAGACCACTTCATTAAGCTGAAGTGGTCTGGGTATATAATAATCCTTTAATACAAAATACCAAAGACTGATTTTTAAATGCGTAAGCCTGTACTGATTTCTATGTGATTATTTTTTTTTTTTTTATCAAAGCTGCACATCTGACATCTGGATTCTTTGTTAAATGTTTTTGTCCAATTAAAATGAGCTAGCTAAACATTATGGTAGTCCTTTCTATTTTGTGTATAAAGTTTTTAGGGGGTAGGAGTGTTGCATAAAAAAAAAAAAGTTAATTTCAATATGCATATGGTCAGTTTAGTTTCCCTGAGTGATTTGTCCATTCTCAATACATATTAGTATTCTATGAAAGGACGAATTGATGGATTTTCCACTGCAGTCACTATATAGTTAACCATGGTATGCCATTTAATGATAATTTATTTTTGTGACCACTTGAACAAGAACAGTGTTTAACACCCAGGAGTAGCCTTTGCATAAGTTGCTATCACTGTGAAGCTATATTAATAAGCCTGTGTTCCTGGCAGATATTCATAGGAAATATATTTGGCATTCCTAGATCGCATGACCAGTTCCTCTTATTTCAGCAATGCTGGACACATGATACACTGCTGCAAATGTGACGGGGGCCTGAAAGGGTGGGAATTAGACACAATATAATAATAACAACTCAGAATGTGCTAATAATAAAACATTTTGGATTTTATATATACTGGATAAGGTTATTATAAAAGAAGTGCCCCTTCTATCTTAATGATATTTTTTATTCTTTGTTTTTTTTTTACTAAAATGGGAATTAAGGAAAATTAATGAGTTGTCCAAATAGATTTCGAAATGCAGTTTAGCTATTTTGTACAAAGTTGTGCATTTCACACTTACTTTAAATGAAGAAAAACCCTGTTTTTTGTTTTTTTTAAAGTGTAAGACTAAAAATACACACATTTTATAAATGAATAAATTATGTTTTACATATAAGACCAGATATTGTTATAATGGAGTCACTAAAGGAATTATGGATGCTCTGCCATTTTTCCCATAATCCTGTTTCCTATTTGTGTGGCAGGGAACAGCTGAGGTTAGATACACTTTCCCTAAAGAGTTACTGCTCTAACCTTTCCCCCCAATCAGTTTCCTATTTAAAATGACCCATTGGGTACTATTCATTGTGTCTCCTCTCCTATGTTTTTCAGTAAAACCTGCAAAAAAATTATTTCTACTAACATGGAATCCAATGTCGGGCAAAGCTCCCAGCGCTGCCTTCCACGCCTCCATCCGATGTCACCGTGGGCCTCATGCAGTCCAATCAAAGGCTTCTCTAACCGGTTTGCCAGCTCAGAGCACATGCGCTCTGAACCAGCAAGAGGACGAAAGATGGGAATTAATAGAAAAAAAACAAATACATATGAGTACAAAGGACATGGGGAGGGCTGAGTTCAATGAAAGAGGGGGACAAATGCCTGGCTCTGCAAAAGAGAAGCTCAATGCGTCTGTCACCAGCATGCAGTGCGCGCTGATGACAGACATATTTTTGCACAGAATTGATGTGTTGTGTGATTGGGGGTGCATATAGCCCCTGGCAGATTACCTTTGATGTGCAGTGTTTCAAGCAGAAAAGTGGCACATACAGATTCCTATCACCATGACCATTTCAGATTATGAAATGGTCTTGGAGGTTGAAGTAACTCCTTTAAGCTCTCCCTTGCGGATGCTCCCAATTATCATCATCTCAACGCACTTCTTCCACCAGAAGCTTCGTCACTGTCAGGGTCTCACAGGGTGGAAGTTTGACTGAAGAAGCTTTGCCTTTATCAAGTTTTGTCAAATTAGGGACTAGAGAGTCCTTACTTTGTCTTATGATTTATTTTGCTTATCTTGTATTTCCACTGAATCCAATGCGGTCAATATGAGTATAAATAAAGTCAATCAATCTTAAAGAAATATTCAGAAGTGACAGAGCTGCTTAAAAAATAAACTGTACAAAGGTTACTTACAAAGGTAATTCTGTTATCTGCAGTAAAAGGTTTCATAACCAGGGTCTCATGAAATGGATCTCCTGCCAGGCAAACCAGGGCAGCCTCATCTGGTTTACTGTGGAAAAAAAAACTGTAAACCACACATTTTCCTTCAGCATAGGTGTTTTTTCATTGCGCCGTTCCCTCTCCTTCCTGAATCCAAATAAAGCACTGGACTCAAATCCAGATAATCAGTGCGATAAATGAGGAGAGAAAGCAACTGGATCAGGATGCTTGTAATGGGGTGGTGTCCACTGCTCAGTACATGAAAGTGGGATTTCTTCTTCTGTTAGCCCAAACGGGGTCATGCAGGCCTTCAACTGTATCCAAATTACATGGACAGTGAGCAGCGATAAGATTTATTGGTTTTCTGTAAATACTACACACAATATGGTTTATTCACTAATGGGGTTTTTTTTGCCTAGAATTCTAAGATTTTTTTTTTCTAAATTTGTCGTCTGCAGTGACAGTGCAGACAATAGTTGAGTGCAGCTGTTGAGCTATGTCCACATTTTTGTTTTTTAATTGAAGCCCGAGGTGTGATGTCTTCATTCTTGCAGCTGTGCTCATCGGAAATTAACTGTACCAAACTCGTGTAATACGAGACAATATAAACAGTCTGGGCATCAGGAGCCATGCTCCTAAAAGACTCTCATTAATCTCCTACCAGGTGAGACATTCAGTATCAGAGCTGATATCGTCTGCCACTGCACTAACTGTGCCTCCCATGCACCGTCCTCCAAAGAGGTTTTCAGCGAGAGATGGAAGTCAAAAAGTCAATGAGCCATCACTCTCACTAAAAGAGTCATCATCAGATGAAATGCATGTGCAAGTGCAACTTGGTATACATTCAATTAATGTAAATTAAAAAAACATGATTGCTGACTGACAGCACTAGACTGTGTGCAAAAAAATAAAAAAAGTCTACACCTCACCAACCAGTTGGTTACATTGAGAAAGGTGTGAGTGCATTAATGGATCCATGGTACATCTCATATGTGACAGTGAATATACCTCCAGGGAGAGAGGGGGGGATAGAAATTGTTTGTGTTCGTTGTAATTGTTCTTTCCTGGTGTGAACAATAGCTGATTGACAACAGTTATTGTTTAGCTAGATGACCCTACCATTGTGTAAATTTATAGTTGGCATTGTACACATTTTTATTGTGACTGATTTGTGTTAAAATGTAAATTATTTATAAAAATTGGTTCACTGATTATCTAATCAGCAGAATACATCAGCTCAAATTAAATATAAGAGATTAAAAAGTTTAAATAATTATCTAGTTAATAGAGTCGTACATAATGCACACTAAAGATTAAGTCTCTTTTTATGATACATTTTTATGTATCTTAACCAAAATTTGGATTAGACACCCTCAATCTCTGCCAGGGAAAGCAGCCATCTTGACTGCTGTCACAGAATTTGCACTCATGTTCGTTATCTTACTACATCTCTTTAATAGAAGTTCAGGCAACCTCGTAAGATGAGGTGAAGGGAGGTGAGTTTAGGACAATGATGTAGCTTAAGACTCATATTGCCTGAAATACTACAGAACACAACTCAACTGAAGTAAAGGTATCGTAAATGTAAATTTTTCTTTCAAATGTCTCTTAAATATTTAGCAATTATCTTCAAAAATCAGTTCAGTCCTGGCACAACTACAGCCAAAGTGCATTGGATTAATGTTTCTCCTCTCTTTATGTTCACTGACAGGTGCACATGCTATTTTCTTTTTTTTTTTAATTACAGAAAAGGTCAGCGCTAATAGCATTGTCTGACAGAGAGCCAAGATAGTGGCTCTGGGTTCCAGGAAAGAGATAAATATGTGGTATGAATTTCTACATTTAATTTTATTTTTCAGACCTCACAAGCACGTTTGTTAAAAATAGGGAATAAGTAAACATAAGATTAAAAATCCTGAGTAGTGATGGTTCCCCTTTAAGCCAAATATTTTCTTTAAAAAAAACGCAGCAAACTGTAATAAAAATGTGATGATTCTAAAAGTTAACAAATAGGGTTTTGTGTTGAATAAATTAAACAGCATTAATTTATCAAACAGTAATACACATTTAGATATTTGCAATGTGAATAATATTACAAATATATCAAGCTGGTCAAACAAAATAGTCCAATTCTTAAACTGCAATTCTTGGTTTTACCACATGGGGGAGATATGTGCACATAAAAAGCTTATTAAAATCAGAACTCTTCCTAGCAGATTTAAAGGACCACTATAGTGCCAGGAAAACGAGTTTGTTTTCTATTTAGTCCTTAGCAGGGCCGGATTTAGAGCATCATGGGCCTGGTGCTGAGGATTTTGCTGGGCCTTTTTATGGAAATATATAAAATCAAAACGCAAAGCATTTGTATTAAGACAAATTAAAAATTTTTAATTGACATTAAAGTGCCATAACAGAAACGGATCGAAAAGGTTTCTTTTTTTGTAAACAGTAGGAAACCAGTTAATTAACCCCTTAAAACCGGAGGACGTACAATTACGCCCTCTAATAGGCGGCTCTAAACGCCGCCGGGCGTAATTGTACGCCCTCCGGTTTTTGTTAACTTACCCGGTCCCACGCCGGCGATCGCGGTTGGGGGGACTCCCAGGGAGCCCCCTGCGGCACATCCGTCCTCGTTGAAGCCCCCCGGCCATGTGAGAGTGGGGTCCTAGCGAGGACCCCACAATCACATGGCCGGGTATAGCTGGCTTCTGTATTGCCGGCAGGGGGGCTGCCTGTAATGACAGGTGGTCCCCCTGCTGGCTGAAAATAAAAGTAAAATAAGTTAATGGTGTAAAAAAAAAATTATATATACTTAGATCATATATATATATATATATATATGATCTAAGTATATATATACACATATACATACACACACATACACCGTCTAGGTGTATTTTACTATATATATATATATATATATATTATATATATATATTAATATCAAATTACACGTAGACTGATACTGATTATATATATATATATAATTATTGTTATATATATTTATATATAATATAAAAAAATTAAAATGTAAATACGTTAAAAAATAAAATTAAAAAAATAATTAAAAATAAATAATTAAAAATATATAGATGTGTGTTTTCGTTCTAACTGTTTTGTGAAATTAATATATATATATATATCAAAATACACGTAGAACGAAATAATATATATATCTATATACATAAATATATACATATATATACTATATATATACCTATATATATATATTTATATATATATATATATATACACATATATATATATACATATATTAATTCTACATATATATTTATGTAATATTTTTACATAATTAGGTATCTTAATTAATTACAATTAGCAGGACCTGCCTGACAACCCATGCCGAAAGTAAAGGGAATTTAATTTGCTAGCACTATATTTAACCCTATAACTTTCCGAGACACCAAACCTGTACATGGGGGGTACTGTTCTACTCGGGAGACTTCGCTGAACACAAATATTAGTGTTTCAAAACAGTAAAATGTATTACAACGATGATATCGCCAGTAAAAGTGAAGTTTTTTGCATTTTCACGCACAAACAGCATTATACGGACATATATTGCTGTGATACTTTTTACTGTTTTGAAACACAAATATTTGTGTTCAGCGAAGTCTCCCGAGTACAACAGTACCCCTCATGTACAGGTTTTATGGTGTTTTCAAAAGTTACAGCGTCAAATATAAGGCTTGTTTCATTTTTTTCACATTAAAATTCGCCAGATTGGTTACGTTGCCTTTGAGACCCTATGGTAGCCCAAGAATGAAAATTACCCCTATGATGGCATACCATTTGCAATAGTAGACAACCCAAGGTATTGCAAACAGGGTATGTCCAGTCTTTTTTAGTAGCCACTTAGTCACAAACACTGGCCAAAATTGGCGCTTTTTGCATTTTTCACACACAAACAAATACTAACGCTAACTTTGGCCAGTGTTTGTGACCAAATGGCTACTAAAAAAGACTGGACATACCCCATTTGCAATACCTTGGGTTGTCTACTATTGCAAATGGTATGCCATTATGGGTGTAAATTTCATTCCCGGGCTACTATACAGTCTCAAAGGCAACGTAACCAATCTGGCGAATTTCAATTTCAAATGTAACGTGCTATATTTGACCCTGTAACTTCCCAAAACGCCATAAAACCTGTACATAGGGGGTACTGTCTTACACGTGAGACTTTACTAAATACAAATATGTGTATTTTATTGCAGTAAAATCAAACAGTATTATGACACTGACCTTTAAAATGCAATTTAGAACAAAAAAAATCAAAAAAATCGTATTTTCTCCCATTTTTTTCATATTAAATTATGTTTCATAGCTAAATATTTGATATTAAATGAAAGCCCTGTTTCCCCTGAATAAAATGATATATAATAAGGGTGGGTGCATTTACTATGAAAGAGGTGTATTACGGCTGGACAGACATGTAGCGCAAATGCCAGGTTTTGTTTACATTTTGTTTTGTTCACAATGTGTACATTTGGCTCCGTCCTTAAGGGGTTAAATAAAGCCATAATAAATATAACATTCAAAACAACAATTTTTTATAAATAGAATGTAAACCATATAAACAAATTAAATATAATTTTATGATACATACATATAAATATGCTCATTAATGTATTACTCCAAGCGT